TTTGCTTTGCTTTAAGTGTCAGAAAATCTGATACCCTTTTCTGGATAGGAATTTCTACATGGCCATGCAATGTAAATTCAAGGAAGATCAACTCAGGGCTTGCTGAATTGTTTTGATGTCAAACATTTGGCACCACCAATCATTGCACTGCATAGGCATTTATCATAGATTTTTCCTAAGCTCATATCGGTTCACTTGCTTCTGCTCTTGATACTATGAAAGCATCCCCTTTACCACCATCTAGTTTTTGAGTGCCTGTACTACTTCTGCCCCTCAAAACTCCATCTACCCGTGTCCATGTCATGATTGGCAACCTAAGAACAATCTAGCTTTCCACCCCCAAAAATCATACTCATAATGGATAGCAGATACTTCTGTCTTTGCAAATATGACAGGTGTATGCAATAGACTGTTCTGCATATACTATAGGCACAACAGCATTCGCTGCTTTTCAGCAATGTTCTGTGAAACAATTTAGGAAAACTTCTGAAAAAAAAAGGAAAATAATTGTGTAGCCTGTGTGAAGCTTACAGCCTTGTTTGTGCTAATTCAATAAATAATGCCAATCTAGTTTCGAACATAACAATACACTTATAGGGTTAGAAAAGCTCTTTATATAAATACAGTGGTGCCTTGCATAACGATGTTAATTGGTTCCAGAAAAAAAACGTTATGTGAAAACATTGTTATGTGAAGCACCATTTCCCATAGGAATGCATTGAAAACTGGTTAATCCGTTCCAATTGGAACGGATTATTGTGCCCATTTCTACTCACAGTCTATTTTATCTAGTTTATTTTATTTTATCTAGTTGATTTTATATAGTTAATACAGTGGTGCCTCGCATAACGATGTTAATTGGTTCCAGAAAAAAAAACGTTATGTGAAAACATTGTTATGAGAAGCACCATTTCCCATAGGAATGCATTGAAAACCGGTTAATCCGTTGGAACGGATTATCCGGTTTTTTCCCTCATCCCCGCGGCTTGGATCTGACCCACGGCGGCTCCCTCAGCCATGGCTGGACTCCCTAGAGTCCGGCCATGGCTGGGGTAGCCGCTGCGGCTCGGATCCAAGCTGCGGGGGGAGGGTGGTGGGATTGGGATGCCTTTCAGGCATCCCGGGCTTGGATCCCACCAACCGCCGGTTACCCTTTAAACGGCGGAGACAGGCTGGGGGGTGGACCGGGAAGCTTGAAGCCTCTCCGCACCGCCTACCCCGGCCGTTCTCGGACTTCCAGGTGTCCAAGAACAGCCGGGGTAGGTGGCGTGGGGAGGCTGCCGGTGGCGGGGACAGGGTGGAGGGGTGTCTGCAAGGCTTCCAGGCAAAGGCCTGGAAGCCTTCGACACCCCCGTACCCTTCCCCCGCTGCCTCGAGAGCCTTCCGAGCTCTCAAAGGGCTTTCTCCAATATCGGAGGGGGCCCTTTGAGAGCTCGGAAGGGAATTGTCGGCAGGGGACGGTGGCTTCGGGGTCCTTCCGAGGCCGCAGCCCACTGCCGACATTTCCCCCCAGCTGAGCGGTGGGGCTTCAAAGCTCCCGCCGCTCAGCTGGGGGGAAATGGTGCCTATGGGGAAAAATCGCAAAGCAATTTTTCCCCATAGGCAAGATCGTTGTGCGATCGCAAAAGTGATGGCAAAAAAGCCATCGCTATGCAATTTTTTCGTTAAACGGGGCGCTCGTTAAGCGAGGCACCACTGTACAATAAATACATTTGCACACAAACTGAATCTTAGGTGACAGGCTGTGCAACATACAACATTTTGTTCTTTGTTACAAATCAGGATTGTATCTATACATTATTATAATTTCATCCTTTTGACAAATTTTATTATCACGTCCATGTAATAAAACAACAAACTTAAGAAAAAGCAACACAGAAGACATTTCTGTTTACCTCATTCCACATCTGCAATTCATGTTCTCCTTGTGGACTATGGGATGCCATTGGAGCTGCTACAAATAAGAAACATCCTGCTTAAAGTCGTAAAGGTTTCTACTATAATATTATTCATTACACAATACTCTCTCTCTCTGCATAAAAATGCAAGCTGATTGGATAGCTCAGTGGATCAGAGCACCGGGGTCTGGAGTCTGATTCCTGAAATGAAATTCTTATCAGAAACTAAAATTTATCTGTAAGCTTCCCAGTTCAAAGGGAAATGTAATCAGAGAACCAGATGATCCATTGCTCTGAAGTGTAAAATATACAAACCAGTTTCACACCCTTTTGGTCAGTGACTCACCCGCCCCTTTGGCATCAGACCTAACCACAGCTCAAAAGTTCTCTTTGAAGTTGCATGTTGCTGGGTTCTCGAAGGAATGCATGTTTTCAGGGGCTAAAAGGAGTACAGGTCTTTCAAAGAAGGAGGAAGCACAAAGTCAGGAGCAAGAAGCAGAGTAGTCAAGACATGAGAGAGCACTTTCCAGCTTGAGGGCTGAAGAAGCCACTCCTGACATGGAATTAGAGGCATCCTGACTTCCTGTAAGCCTAGGGCCATTGTGGAAGATCATGGCAGACTTTAGTTTAAAATCCAGCATTGTAGCCTGTAGTATTGCCTGTTTGCTGTTCTATGCCTTAGATTTGTACTTGAATGCAAGCTAAAAGCTTAACTATGCTTTTTGCCCTTTACTTTTTATTTTCCTTTTAATTCAGTTGATTTTTTAGAATAGACTCCTTGTTTGAGTGACTGTTCTTTGCAGAATGTCCTAGCCAAACTAAATCCAACCAGCCAGGCCACTCGTCCAAACTTCTTAGTGATTCTCTAGAGTATGTGCAGTGTGCAAAAGGGTTTTTAATAAGTCTGGGATTAAATTAAACAAAATCTGGATGGTAATGGGGGCAGTGAAGAATTTGGCAGATGGTTCAATGGAGTGGTGAGGTGGCCAGCCAAGGCTTTCCCCTACCTGGCAATAAAGGCATTAGCAAGCCCTAGCAGTTCTGTTACAGAGGTTTATACAAGAAAACTTTTCAATGGATTGCATGCATAGATTGTCACGCGGTTGACAGTTATGTGCACTACCCAGCTCACACTGCAATTCTATATCTACTCAAAAATGAATCCCACTGAATTCAGTGGTTCTTATTCTCATAAGACTGCTATTCCACTGAAATCAAGGTAACATAACTCCAGGCTGCATTGTACCCTCCTTAATATCTAGAACCAGTTCAAAAAATCAGTACTTCATTTTTAATGTTTGATTATGGCACAGTAAGATTGCTTTAAATGTTTATTGCTTAGTACTTATCTACAAATTTCAGTCTCATAAATGAAAAAAATACTGTGACCTCAGAACACCAAATGCTAACTAAATATATGTTAGGGAACTTTTTCATTTCTCAGTCCACCATTCTTCTACTTTGTCCTGTTTTGAATTCTGTATACAAAGCTATGAATCCCATTTTTTTTGCTTTAGCACACAGGCCATGGCAAATGACATAATAAAAACAACACAATACAATGTAAGAAAATTTGAATTAGACTTCTATTCAGATTTTTAAAATTTGAGATCTAAAATGCATCACATGTATCCAAACATAAACATTAATACACTCAGTAAATGTAACTGTAAATTAGTAATTGAGTGGCAAAGGACTGTCAGTTTGGTTAGCAGCAGAGAATGAAAAAAATTGTTTTTATAAGAGTGGAAATAAACTTTTCCATTCAAAATGTGGCAAACTTCTACTTCTCTTTGTTTTGGTCAAATCTTCCAGGGAATTGTTCTAAAACAGTAGTCTTGCACACTCAGCTGAGAAGAAGGGACAGTAGAGTATGGCATGTACCAAATTTTCAGTTGGTTTTGGATCACAGGAGCAGACTCTTTCATTATATGGCATTCCTTTGTACTGCCCATTGTCCATTTATAAGGCTGGGATCTTCTATTAAAGACCATTCTTTTGATATTCTCATATTTTACACTGCATATATCCTTCTTAATAAATAGTAAATTGTTTCAGCAATTTTCTGATGCCTGCTTGGGTATGGGATATTAGCAAGGTGTCATCTGCGTAAAGAAGTATTGAAATAGCCTTTCCACCTACTCTTACTGGGGAGAATGTCAATCCTGTTGAACAGTCCACTATACCATTTATTTATAATTTGAAAAGCAGTGTGGCCAAGATACAATCTTGAAATACCCCTTTGGATATTTTAACTGTCTTAGACAACTGGCTTGAAATGCCAACTCCGACCTTTAAGAAAATATCAGTGGACAGATCTATCTAGCAACGCAAGGTCAATATTAAGGTTTATAATTTTTCTTCAAAAGGCGTTTTCTTGGAATAGAGTCAAATGCTGCTTTGAGATTGATAAAAGCTATATATAGCTGCCACAATAACCCTTCACAATATTTGCTAATTATATATTTTAACAAGAAGACGTGGTCCACAGTAGAATACCCTGCCCTAAAGCGAATTTGTTTGGGGATTAATAGATTATTTCCCATCCGTCTAATTTCTGGAGGAGATGTCTTGTATAGAGTATGCTTACAATACCAAGTAAACTTATGGGTCAGTAATTGGTGGAACCATTTCATTTCCTCTTTCTTTAGGTTGGTACATTGGAGGATACCCATTCTGTAGGGATTCTACCAAACATATCTATACAAGTGTATAATATGGCTAGCATAGGAGCCGACCATCCTGGAAAGATCTGAGTATATAAGTGGGAATGAAGTTTTCTCCTGCAGCTTTATTGCTCTTGATTATTGAAATTTGCAATTTTATTTCCATAATTATAACCAGTGACCACCTTGGTAAAAGGTTGGGGGGGTAATTTCAGAGATGGGGCTTTCTTTCCCCTTTGGGTTGTATTATTAAATAGTATAAAACAGTGTTCTTCCCAGCATCCAATAAATACTGTATGTAGGAATTGAGATTCTGTATACATAACCATTACTATAAGCAAGCGCAATTGTCAGAGACACTAAGCACCTATACTTACATAGTGAATATTTTGATCTTGCTAAGTGTATTTCCTATACAGTATTTGACATCCAAATATAAAATCCAGTTTCCTATAATACAAATATGTGATAGATGTCAACCCCTTTGCCCAACTGATCATTCAGAGTGTGAAGAAGAAATTTTTAAAGAATGGATAATTGCCAAGAAAAGAAAGGGCAGAAGCTCAGAATAATTTTTTTAAAGGCAGACAAAGGAATAATAGGGTTGACGTATTTTCAGGGGCAGTGATTTACAGTCCCCTACTACTTCTCAATTATCCCCTGCAACCCCCCTCCCCATGTTAACATTCTCTGGAAAAGACAGAATTGACAGAATCCATAAGCACTCATACTTTGAATGAAATTAAAGCTTTGTTCATTCAACATCTAAGTATATATAATGCAAACATTATCTTTTTTTAAAGAAAAAGTCTAAGCACAGAGTCTCATTTTCTAATTCTCTGACATTATACGATCAATGTTTTGTTCTTCCATCATTGTAAGCAGAAGTGTAAACTAACAGGCTAGCATGAGTATGAATATGCTATGTAACAGAAAATCACATTTTAGAGCTTTAGCAATTACACTAGAATTTACTTGAGAATATTGATATATAAGTGGAGACGCTAGAAGTTAATTTTCATATAGTGACAATAAATGCCCACATTTTTGTTGTAGTGGTGCACATTGCTATCTCTTGGAAGCATGTCTAAGAAATCCTATAGAACTGTAACTATTCTTTATAGTACAATCAATGTACTGCACTTGAAATAATAGAATAGACTGCACTTCAAATAATTATCTGTATTTACCTTATTAAGCAACAATTATATTTTGGCTATAAGGCTGCAGAGGCTACTATTTTCTGGTAAAGTGAATAGATTCTTAGTTTCTGGAAGTTAGTGCGTCTTCACTAGATATTTTAGGAAAAAATCACAGAAATTATGCAAATACAGTTTGCTTCTGTAGCCTGGAATCTCTGATTCAAATGAACACAGGTGGACCTGAAACCACTGGACAAGTGAAATAAGAATGAAGAATTGTTGAAAGCTGATCTTGAAATTGCACAGCCCAGGGGAAAAAAAGGAATTGCCATATTTATTTGACTGTATGAGCCCGGTTTGGGGGGGAACCACGTTTGATATCAAAGTGTTATTACTTCTGCTGCAGTTTTTAAAATAAATATTAAAAGACAGACATCTAAAATTAATAGGAAAAACAAACATGGATAAAACATTCTCTTTGCAGGATCTAGAGCAGTGAGTGTAAAATTACACTATGTTTTGGATTGCTAGGAACTCAGACTCAGTACTAGGAGATAAACTATTAGTGTTGTCATTTTCAAGCAAGATATTTTCAAATAAGAACATTTCAAATATGTAGAGAGCAAACTGGATCACAACTTTGATCGTGCACTCAGAGGGGAGTGACCACCAAACCCCACTGAAGGTCTGTGCCTTTTGGCAGCGACCTGGCCGGCCTTGGCAACTGTACCTGTTGATCTCTGCCTAAAGGGCGGCCGTTGAAAACAGAGAGTCATCTGTGGAGGGGGAAAAATGCTCCCCCAATTTGAGAGAGAGTTGGAGAAAGAAAAGTGCATGTAAGGCGGGAGGGGAGGGAGAGTCACTAAGTCCAAGAGTTTTGAAATTTCCTAAAGGTCAGAAGGGCTGGAAGGAATTAAAATAGCTGCAAACGCAGAAGGATGACGGTGAATCTGGAGCTCTCGGGGATGAAGGAAACTCGCTCGGAGCAACAAACAGGGCGCCCACCCGCAAGGCACGGCGCCCCTCTCGGCCCTTACCTTTGCACGAGCTCACCCCAAAGGCCAGGAGGGAAAGGAGCAACAGCCACGGCGTCCCCGAGCCAGGCTGCGGCTTCCTCGGGCCCGGGTGGAAAGCGCTGCCGCCCCCAGCCCCAAGTGGAGGCTCCCGGCGCCGGCCAGCGCCCGCCCTTCGCATGGCTTCGGAGCTGAGGGGAAGCGTTTTTCCGGCCGCTCGGCGTTGGCGCGCCCTTTGCTCGACGCTCGGCTCCGGCTCTGCAAGTTGGCGGCAGGCGAGCTCACACTTTTAAATCTCCCGGACACGAAGGAGGGCGGCAGTAACGGGAGTCCGGGAAAGCACGACGTCACCCTTCTTCCCGCCCGCCCTGAGGGCAGAATTTCCCCCCTTCTCCTCTCTTGGCAGGCAGCCCCCGTGCGCCCGCCGGTGACTCAGAGTGGAGTCAGACCCCGGGAGCCGAAGGAGAGAGAGAGAGAGAGCCTCTCAGCCCTTTTTGCCCATGCAGAGGGTGACCGTGTGCTGCCCACACCATCTGCCAGGACGTCGGCGGGGCCCACGAAGCTGAGGGGCTGCGCGGTGGTCCCTTGAGGGTCGCTTTCCCAAAGAACCGCACCCCGTGGGAAGCCCAGGGAGGGGGAGAAGGGAGGTTTTTCGGTCCGCAGGAACTGTTTAGCCCGCCGCGAAGCGTCCCAAACGGCGTGTTATGTGTGATAGAAAGTGTGTGGCAGCCGCTTGAGAGGACGTCCCTCTTTCTCACCTGACTAGCACTTTCCCGCGCCAGCCACCTGTTCAGAAGAAATGAGGTGAGGGAGCAACCTGTTACCTGGTAGCGGTTTTCAGAGAGGTAGTCCTGCTAGCCTGTGTCAGCAACAACCCAAACAAAACAGAAACATAAGTATTAAGATGTTTCTAAGACCAAAAAAAAAGTATTTCAGTGAGTTTTTTCGGATAGGGTCACTTCCTCAGACACCTCCACACCATTTAAGAGTGAGGTAGCCCCATCCTAGTCCATAAGCAGTCAACGGGTAGATGATTGTATTGCTCTTTTGGTGAAGGAGTTGTATACTCTTAGATCCACTGTTTCTTGTTCCATCCCTTCATAACTTTTCCATTGCTCATGAAGGATCATATGCACATTCAAACTATGTACAGTACATCTGAAATTTTCTGTGTGATGCAGAACCTTGCCAAAGACAGCAGCCTCAGTCAAATGGATGGAGATTATGGGTACACAAGGTGCAGTGAAGATCTGTCAGAATTTATATCTAACCACAGGAAAGTACATGGGCCCAGTGGGCGTGATCCTGCTGCCACTTCTATATATATATAGCTATTCATAAGGACCTTTTTCATGTGTATATCTCTAGACAAACACCTACCTATTCTCTCCAGAGATGAAACTCTCATAACTCTCGTAATCCCTGAAAGAGAAAGCCCAGTACAACAGGTTGAACAAGGCTGGTATATTAAATGTGTGGAGGGGAAGCAAAACTCCAGCTACCATCACTACTCTGACCATGATGCAACTTGCAACCTCATCTGTCACAGCTACTCATTGAGAAAGTAGCTGTGACCTCTGCTCTGCCCCTGCCTTCCAGTGAGTAGGACAACAGCAAGGAGGCCTTCACTAATATAACTGCCCATGTAAATTTTCCATGCCAGCAGGAACCTCACTGTTTCAAAATTCCCACTAGCTTGAAGAGATTATGAAGATACAGTCAAGTGCTTGAAATCTCCCTCCATTACTAATGTTCCATGCAACACATGGATATCATTGGGCAATAATAGCATACTGCTGATTTCCCTTCCACGTGTAACATATGTGGATTATTAGGGTATTGATGAGCAATTGATCTGTGTAAGGTATATAAAGTCTACTGCTGCTGTGAGGAACTATATGTCCCTGTGGAGGATGAATATTGGGTTGGTGGAGGTGGAATTTTAACGGAGAAAATGATAAAAGAGATTAGTTAAACTTCTCCCCAAGCTCTGCAGTCTTCTCCAGCTTTCTCTGAATCCCATGTCACACTAAACACTAAAAATTTATTTATTTATTTTTTATTTATTTATATATATCCCGCCTATCTGGTCGGATTAGGACCACTCTAGGTGGCTAAAAATCAGCCCACAGACCTGTTTGCAGATCTTCTAATGTCATGTCTATTTAATCCCAAAGCAGGTGATGGGTGCAAGTTCCATTGAGTGTAGTAGGACAGACTTCTGAATAGTCAGGCATATGTTTGACCTACATGAGGACTATCTTATGGAAAACAGTTTTCAAAGAGGGAGGTTGTATCTCAGTGTCTTTGCTTGTCGACAGTGATGAAGTGCCCCAGCAATGCATCTCTATTTGAATAAGGAATTAGTATAGCAATGCAGGAAAAGATCCTTTTTCAAAGGCTGCGGAGATCCATTTCCAAACAGGGTAGATACAATTAGGCTAGACAAGCAGTACTGGGTTTGCCTGATGCATCATCAATATTTCAGCATTAGCCCATGTGAGGATGCTGCCATGCACCCAGAGTCCAGGAGTAACACAGACACAAAAGACACTGGTCAAGCAGGCACTGGGCCCCAAACCTGATCAGTGACCAGAAGAATAATAAGTCTGAGATGACAGAGACCCTGATCCCCAGTTCTCCAGATAGCCAGTTCTACAATATACTGGCCATTACACTCACTCACCTGCAAGGGCAAAGGCACATCACTGAGCTTGCCTACATGCTAGCATGAGTTCAGGACAGATGACAGCCTAGAGGCTCAAGGTCAACGGGGTATAGCTATAAAGTGTTGTAGCTTGAAAAGTATAGTCCAGTTCAGGAAGCATGAAAAGGGTCCTGCAGCACAGGTTGTCTGGTCTTTGGGATCTGTCCAGGGTCCTGAAATATTTGCAGCTCTGTTTCAGAGAAACCTATTACTGATCAACCCCTATCCTGTCTATTGCTTGCCTGCCTGTCTAACAACGAGCTCTGCTTTACCACATATCAATTACTGTACTACTATAACAAATTTAAATTAACGTAAAAACACTGCAACAAAGATTTTACACAGAAACATTATAAGTATCTAAAAAGAATTAATTGCATGAGTTCTAACATATGTTGGAAAGCAAACTAGTTTTCTAGCTGATGTCTCCTGTTAATATGAAATTGATATACATTATTTTTCATATCCCTCACTTCCTGAATATGCTAACTTTTTGATGTGTTTATATATTTTATACAATAATCAAGAATGGATTTACAGTGGTGCCTCGACTTACAAATGTCCCTACTTACGACCATTTTGAGTTATGACCAGCTCCAGCCGCAAAATTTTTCTTTGAATTGTGGCTGGAGCTTACAGTTATGAACACAAAAAGGCAGGGGCAAAAGGCTGCTTCTTTGTAGCTGTTTCACCCCAGCTGTTAAGAGACTGCGATCGGAGGAGGCTGCCTGGCAAGGTAAGGTGCTGTTTTCTGCTTTTTAAAAACTGTTCTGGGTGTTTTTGCAGTGTGGTTTAGAGCTGGTGGGGTTATGTTTCTGTGCTGTGATGGGTCCTGGGGGATTTGTTTGTTTTTTTGTTCGACCCCATTTCTGATGGGTCTTGGGGGGTTTGATTGCTTTTTGGAGTCTTTTTTCCCATTTCCAATGGGTCTTGGGGGTTGTTTTTTGTTTTTCCCCCCATTTCTGATGGGACTTAGGGGGTTTGGTTGCTTTTTGGGGGTTCCCCCCATTTACAATAGGTCTTGCATGCTTCTCTTTGTTCTCTTTGCATTTCCAACCTGGTCCCTTTGTTCTCTGTGCATTTCCAATCTGCTCCGTTTGTTTTCGGTGCATTTCCGATTGGTCTTGCACACTTGATTGCTTTTCTTTTCTTTTCCCCCTTCGGCCGGAAGGGATTAATTGCGTTTCCAATGAGTCTTGCAGTGATTTATTATTATTATTATTATTTGGTGCTTTTTTCGTAGGCCGGAATGGATTAATTGCATTTCAGTGCATTTCAATGGGAAATGGTGCTTTGACTTATGACCATTTCAACCAATGATACATGTGCATACAATTGTGTGACACCCGTTCCCCGGGTCGTGAGGTGATGTTGGGAGTGCCGTCTTGCCCTAGAGCCTCCGTGGGCACCCAGACCGCACCCAAGTCATTTCCACCCCGGATGCTACACCAGGCAGTGGATACCGTTGATTTAGAACGGGGCATGAAGGGGTTAAGCATAGCTACCCAGACTCCTCTGGTCTGGGCGGGAAAGGGGGCTAAGGATCCGGAGGAGGGAGCTGTGGGGGAAGTCAGTCACCGACGAGCAGGGGAAGAAGGTGGATGGGAATGGGTATCCATCCAAGACCCCTGGTCGGGCAAGTGGGAACAGGTGTGC